GGGGGGGGGGGGGGGGGGGGGGGGGGGGGGGGGGGTGGCAGCGGCTCTGGCTCTCCCCAGGGCGGCTGGGCAGCCAACCAGCGCCGAGAGGCTCGGAAAAACCAGTCTGGGCTGTCGCTTCTCCAGCCGGGCTGCCGCGTGTTGCAAGTTTGGTGGGTTCTTCGCCCGGCTGGAGCGCACCTGCCGCCCTGGGCAGTCCAGGAAAACCCGGGCAGCCACGCGGGGGGTGGGGGGTGGGACGCCCCACCAGACCACAGGGACACTCGAGTCAGGCTGGGGGGGTCGCCAGAAGCGCCCTTCTTCTTCTTCTTCTTCTTCTTCTTCTTCTTCTTCTTCTTCTTCTCCTCCTCCTCCTCCTCCTCCTCCTCCTCCTCCTCCTCCCAAAGACCCGGCCAGGAGACCCCCTGAAATCGCCTCCTGGGACGCGCTTCTTCTTCTCTTCCGAGTCTCTTTGGTTGGACTGGAACTCAGCGCCTCTGGGCATTTGAAACCCCCCTTGGAAAGACTTTTCAAGCCCGGGGGAGTGTGGGACCCGGGCTGAGGCGAAGGGAAGAGAAGGGGAGGTGGGCATCCGGCGACAGAAGGGGCCCCTTGGAGACCCGACTTCGTTCCTGGAAGATCGCCCGTCCGGCAACGGAGGACGCCCGCCAGACAACCGCCTTCCCCGCGGGCTCAGCCTCCCGGGCGCCGTCCGAATGCGAGAACTCGCGGGGACCAGCCGGGGGGGAAGTTTCCCGATGCTTCGGGGGGGTCTCTTCGCGTGCAAAATCGAGGCTCAGCCCCGCCGCTTCGGAGCGTCTCGCTGCACGGCCTGAGTGGGTTTCCCTGCGCAAAAGGGAGCGAGAAACGCCCTTTTTGCGCGTGACGGAGGCGTCCCGGGAGGCTCTCGGTGGCTTTCTTGGTTGGAGAGAAACTCCCACTTGGAGGGTTTCCCTTCCTTGGGAGGGTTGGGGAGAAATCGCCTGCCTTTTGGGGGGGGGCGGTGGGGGGGTGTCCAATCTTCCTTTGCAGCCAACTTCTGAACAAGTGAAACCCACTTTTGCCACGGAGAGTCAAAAGGAGGGGAAAAAAAAGAGCGAGGAAGCTGTGCCGTGACGACCTTTCCACTAGGGGGCGCTGTGGGCTTCCCTTTGGAGGGGCGCGGGGTCCGGCTGAGCCACCAGAGGGCGGCACCTGCCTGCCCTTCATCCAGGTAGCCGGTCTGTCTCCACTTTGAGGGCTCTTCCTAGATGGGGAAAGGAAGAATCAATCCAGGTTTTTTCTTTTAGGAAGTGTTTTGAAAGAGACCAAAGCTGGAGGGAGGGAGCCTTAATTCAGGGACTCCTTCGGCAGAGCCTCCTTGTCCAGGAGCAGTCTTCCTTGGGGATGACTAACCCAGCAAAGAACAGGCCCTCCCCGTGGGCCCAGTTTGGCAGGAATAACCAAACCGCTTGCTCCCCTTTCTGGTCAACTCCTGCAGGAAAATCAAGGAAATTCGTGAGCTCACTCGGAGGAAAATCTGACGTGGCCCCGTGGCACTTCCACCTGGAGTTCCTGGCCACGGAGGGCGGAATCCCTGCCCGCCACCAGGAAAAACGGGGTGGCAATTGGGGTATGAAAAGAGAAGGCGGCCGCATCCTGCCAATCTCAGCGTGTTCAGCCTTTTATTGATGTGCTGCAAATCCCCCTGGATAGAAAATTATGCTCAGAGGACTTCCGCAAGGAAGCAGAACAGCTGCTTTCTTTTTTTCCATTCAACAATTAAATTTTCCTCCCCCCCCTCCCCCCCCCCGACTCTCCACCTGCTTTCTCTGTTGTTGCTGCAAGAATTGTGCCCATTCTTCCTTTCGGGAATTCCTGGGGAAATTTACCCCGAAGGATGAGTAAGGAAAGTGCAGGGCGTGGCGTTTAATGGGTCAGCCTCTACCTTTCTTTTATTGCCAATGTGAGTGTTGTGTTTCCAAACACAGCCACAGTAGTAATCAGGCTTTAATTAATGCGGGCAAGTAAAGAAATGTGGAGACAGACTGACACAGGGCTGGGATTGGGATTAAACCTGTTTGTAATCTAGGTTAGTTTTGCGGGATCTAAAATCTGACAGTTTAACAAGCTGCGAAATTATGTCCAGATTCCAGCCTTTATCTGTCTTTCCCAGCACCTCGATAATTATTGTACTTTATTTTATGAGGATGCTGCTCTTCCAGACCGACTTATAAAAGAACCAGTCTTTTTAAATGTCCAAAGCACACTCCCATGAAAAAGAATGTCAAAAAATACAAGTGGGTTTATTTTATTTATAAAGGGCAGGGGGCGGGGGGGGGGGGGGAGGTATTTACCTGCAGATAATTTTTTATTATTATTATGAGTCTTTTAAAACTGTTTTCAAGATAATATAATTAGCCTCCAAGAAATTTCAGGCTTCCAAGCGTGGAAAAGGTTCAGGTTTGAAATAGGAAGAATGAGCAAGAACCGGAAGGAAAATGTTCCTATAATTGTATTTGAGGTCCTGGGGTCGGCAGCACTGGGACGGTTCTTCCAACAAGGGGGTTTGAAAAACGGGGGAAAAGCAGCTTGGCTTTTTTTCTTCTTCAGTTTTTCCAGTGGAAAAATACACCCACCCCATCCCAAAGCTCATAAAACCAATAGTAAACCCTTTGTAAATAGAAAAGAAAGCTTGTAGTAGGGATCCTACCAGGGAAAAAAACCAACATATACTTTAAACTTTGGCTGCGAGGCCTGTTCCTCAGCCCAAACAGTTGGCACGGAGGGGGCCCTTCAGCGAAAGGGAAGCGGGGGGGGGGGGGGGGGGGGGGGGGGGCGGGCCCTGGGGGGGGGGGGGGGGGGCGGCGGAGGCCCCAGCAGGGCGGCCCTCGGGCCCTTTGGGGAGGGGTCTCCGTCCCCTCTCCCTCGGCCGCCTTCGGAGGCGCAGGAAGCGGAGGGCGGAGGTTGCTTTGCTCCCGGCCAAGCAACGGGATGGCTGGGGGGCTGGCTGGGTCAGGGGGGGGAGGGAGGGGGGTCCCCGCCCAAGAAGGGTGCAAATGCGCCATAGACCCTTCGCCTGGAAGCCCTCCTTCCCTCCCTCCTGTTTCCTTCCTCCTATTCTCCCTTCCCTCTTTCCCTTCCTCCTCTTCTCCCTTCCCTCCTTCCTCTTTCCTTCCTCCAGTTCTCCCTTCCCTCCTTCCTCTTTCCTTCCTTCTCTTCTCCCTTCCTTCCTCTTTCCTTCCTT